CCCATAATGATGTCTCGGGCCAGGGCTTCTACCTGAGTGAGACCTTTAGACCAGTTGTGTGACTGCACGCCTGATATAAAGAGACAGACTGTTTTTGGAAAGGGTGATTACATGAAAATATTTTTGCACACGGTACGTCAGGCTGCCCTTATATTCTGTTTATGATGGCACACAGTCAGTATTCCCTTTCCGAACTTGTGATGGCCTGTGTTACTCACTGTCGGCATGCACACTTACCTGTCTGTTCCCCGTGCTGCTCTCTGTAGTATGATGACCTCCTCAGCCAGTTCAGCTGCATGCAGCTGGCCCCGTCCACATCCTCCCAGCTGGCTCTCTCAGAATTCCCTCCGCTGTTGACTTCCATCAGCAACATTCAGCAGTATATTCATGACCTGGACACCAACTCCTTCGAGCTGGACCTGCAGTTCTCCAGCAAGGAGAAGAGGCTGCTGCTGGAGAAACAGACCAGCGGAAACCCTTGGTGCGCCCTCTTAGTCCCCTCCTGTGCCTTTAGCGTTTCAAGAACATGTCTGCAGGGCTTTGGACCAGGTTGTCCTTCAGGGTGCATGATAAATATTCAGAATGTGAATTTAGCATGAATTTGTTTTAGCTTAATAGAATATCCCATAAATACAAATGGTTTGTTCTGATTTTATCTTATCTGCCCTGTTCAATTTTTTAAAAAATATGCCACAACTGTAGTATACACGTTTGTGTTCAGTGACACTTTACTTGCTTACATAATGTGTCCCTGTTACTTATTTACACAGTTGTGTGTTAAATATTTTTCATTGTACTGTGCTTTATACTGCAAGACAGCCAAATCCTTAGATACTTTGACATTGTGCAGCTAGGTTTTTCTCCTCATCATTCAGAGTATAATTGAAAAAACTAATTCTAATATTTTGTTTTTTCTTTAAGGCACCAGTTTGTGGAAAACAATTTAATACTTAAAATGGGTCCAGTGGACAAGCGTAAGGTATGGGCTTGTCATTTTCTATTCTGTTTTTTTCTTTTTTTATCTTCTTTTTTTTTTCATTGGTGCTTTGAGTCTGTGCGCCTGCAGAAAGGTGTTGTGCCATTTCAGGGCATCACAGCTCCCTCTTCTGCACAGACTGTGTAATGGCACTTTCAATACCTTTAATTAATGAATTCCTTTAGCTTGTACTTTTCGGTCTGTAGAAGAGGGGAAGAAAAAAAACATTTGATCATCTTTTGTTCCCCCCATGAATGTGAATGTCTGCTTACACTGTGTAACAGTTTTTGTTCCTGGGTTGTAGGTGTTGTTTCGTAATTGCTTATGCCTAAAAAGTGCGGACAGTCTTGTCCATGTTCTCTGTGGGATATGGAATTTGAGGGACATCCCACTGCCCATTTTGCTGTACTTCTTCACCAGCCTCAGTCAGCCCCACAGAGTTTTCATCCATGTGTATAAAACGTCTAAGAAAAGGCCTCTGTAGTTATGCTACGTTTTATATTAGTGGAAAGTTCTAGGAAGTTCTCAAATTCTAGAGGTTACTTCAAGTTTATTCAGCACTTAATCTGTCTGGAATATTATGGAAAATAGGTAAATGTCAAAATATCACTGTCCTGGTCACGATAGCAATGTTTGTGGGGAGTGATGGCATTTTCTATACTTTTGAGGCATAAGCTATTAGGAAATAAAACATACTACCCAGGAACAAAAATAAAAATAACAATTAGTTACACAGCGTTCTAGAGTGTGCTAGTAAATCTTTCGTAGGGCCTGTTCGCGCGTCGGCGCCAGCTGCTGCTGACAGAAGGGCCGCACCTGTACTACGTGGACCCAGTGAACAAGATCCTGAAGGGGGAGATTCCCTGGTCCCCAGACCTGCGTCCTGAGGCCAAGAACTTCAAGACCTTCTTTGTTCACACAGTAAGACTCGAGCACAGCCCAGTCAGGGCTCAGGCTGCCCGTACCTCTCCCTAATGACATACAGGCTGATCTTAGGGCTCTGGTTACACTAGATAGATGGACTGAGATTACTTGTAATGGAAAGTATACAAGTAAGAGTAAACCTTGTGTGAAGAAAAAAAATGGTAATATGTGCCTTTGTTTAAATATTAGACTTGTGGAGTTACTGGAGTTTGCTTCCTAAGTAAAGCTGACATTTGTAATGTTTTCCGTTTTTGCAGCCAAATCGGACATATTATCTAATGGACCCTAGTGGGAACGCTGATAAATGGTGCAAGAAAATCCAGGAAGTATGGGGGAAGATATACCACAAACGGCAAAACGCTGGCTTATAGCTGCACCTTAGTGCACCTTGCTTTCTTCGTGTGGCAAGATCCCCCCCCCCCCCTCAGTGCCTGTGGCCTGTCACAAAGAGAGCTCTCCCCAGAATCCCCGCTCAGACTTGACATTGCTTTCTTTTTGCACACTAAAGCTGGTATCTAAATAGTTCTTTCTCTCCGAGGAGGGGAAAAACATGGAAGCGAATGGAATTCATGGTTGCTCTCTGCTCTGCTGCTGTAGACGCGTTGGACACGTCGTTTGCGGATAAGAGTCCAATTCGTGAAACTTCAGCTGTCCAGCCAGAGAGAGAGAGTACAATCAGTCTGCCTTGGCATAATTAAGAGATGTCATCCACCAATACAGCTGGACAGTGTACCAAGCAGTCCTGTGGTGAAGATGACAGCGGGATGAGGGTTAGGGGTTTTCTAGCGGAGCTGCAGACCCTCGTTTCGCTGTCCTGAATCACCATCATTTAATTGCGGGTATTTCAGAGTGCTTTTGTTTCCAGGTGTTTTATAGCTCCTAGCCGCCACCCTTACATGTGTTTACCACACGTGCAGCGGTACGTAAGTTCAGCATCGCGGTCTCTGCTTAACTGTGTATTCTGACTACTGTGAGTTCCTTACTGTATTACTCGCTTAGTCTGCCTGCTGTTCACTGTGGTCACAGCAAACTCATTGCTGATTATCCAAAATGTCAATGGTTATGTTAAATGTATTCACTTTATCCTGGAGGTTTTTTTTGTATCTTTTTAATTTAAATAAAACAGTATGGTAGGTTTAGAATTTACTTTTCTACAATATATAATCATGACCTTTTTGTTTGGAGAACCAGTTTCATCTGTTTTGTCCCTTTAGAAATTGAGCAGCCATAGGGAAATAATTGCATATAATTCACGTTTTTTTTCTTATTTATTTTTTCTGTTGTTAAAACACAAGAAGATATAATGAAACTCCTCAGGAGCACTGTTGCTTTTGTCTTGTACAGTTCATACTAGGTTAGTGGGGTCTCTGTATCTAACCTGGAACAAACTTCTTAATGCTTTAAGGATTTTTTTCCCTAGAGCTCTGTGATTGGCTATCATGGTCCTACAGCTGAATCAGTCTGTCACACGAGTCGCGGGCAATCATGTGGGAGTCAAACCACAGACAAATTGCTGTATAGACATTTCAAATGAATGCTTACAGAAAGATTCTTTTACGGTCGGCAACAGTCGGTTACGTTGAGTGTTTCATACTCTATGTGGGTTGTAACCGACCAGAACTGTGATTTGTTATTTAAATTCTTAATATATGAATCATCTTTGGATTGAAGTCACGTTCAAGGGCCATGCTGTGTATGTACTGAGATGTAAAGCCTTTGAATGTGAATAATTATTGTAAACTGATATTTTGAAACTTTTCTTATTTTATTATATACATTTTCTATTTGGTCAGTGATTTAATCCTATTTCTCATAATTTAATGAACTTGTTTGTTTCCAATGACTGCGACCGGTGAGATTATCGATGGATGGAGTTGCCCACATAATGCTTAGTAATACCGTAATAAAACCATGTAGGGTTTTAGGCAACTGGCTGCCTTTCCTTCTGTCTTTTTTATCCCTTCGTGCCTATCAAACGGTATACATGAATAAACCCGGAGCACAGCGAAGGAAGGACTTGGATGAAGACCGTGGTTATAGACAGTTCTGGTTATACCTTTATATAGTTAAAACGCTATTTAAAGCATTTTAAATGAAACATACTTGCTTGTATGGCACCATTAAAAAGAACATGTTATTAGTACATGAAGAAATTATGCGTGGATTTCTCTAATATATATAATTTATTTGTAATTAAATGTCCAGTTTAGCGTTTGGTCTTAGTGTCTGAACACCGCCGAACCCCAGCAAAGGAGTGGCGTTTCTTGGGGGAGGTAACCAAATTAGGCAGTACGAGCGGCGGAACTCTTCCTGCCTGGCGAGCAGTTCCTGCAGCGCTCGGAGCAGCGGGGATGGCGGAGAGCAGGTCTGATCTGAGCTGTGCCGTCAGCTGCGGGGGAGACGCAAAGCACGCTCCGGACGCCGGAGCTTCCAAGTGGGTCAGACTCAACGTCGGCGGCACGCATTTTCTGACCACGAGGCAAACCCTGTGCAGAGACCCGAAATCTTTTTTATACCGACTGTGCCAGGCCGACCCCGACCTTGACTCTGATAAGGTATTGGATCCAAGGCTCGCGCGTTCGGGTCCCGACCTATGGTAGAAATAACTGCTGCATGAATTCACTTAATGTCAAATGATAAAATGCATTTTCAATATTTTGGAAATCACTGCAGTATTTTAATGTAATGCGATTTCCGATTTTAATGCGAGAATGCATTGAAATGTTTGTTTTGCCATTTGCTGAAAATATAACCAATATAAAACGTCTAAGAAAAGTTATATTGCTGCTTTGGTGAAATCGTAATAACCCATGCAATGGCGTATGGTTTTAATTTGTAACATTAATTGTGTATGATTTGATTCATGATTCTTATATTGACGCACTACACTTTACTGTGGCGAACGATATATAAATTGTTTAGTTAAGTTTAATTAGTTAAGAAAGTTCGACGGATTTAAAATGAGACTCACTTTTCCATAATCATGCAAACAGATGCAAGGATGCGCCGCATGTTGTTTTGTTTTTGTCCAAGTCTTGGAGTGCATCATCACGGTAGTTTTATGGGCTGATGCATCGTGCATTAATGCATTAGTGCATCTTCTGCAGTGTATTTCCTGTTTCTTCTTGGTGACTGAATACTGCCTTTTCCATGTATACTAGATGTTTTTCTGTATTTGCGTTGATGGCGATTCAACCAACGGGTTTCCAATTACAGCTTGCATTCTCTCTAGAGGTGAATTATTTCGTGTGCATGTGTGTGTTTGCGTGATCCGATATATTCAGGGGTTTTGAGTAATCGTAGAAGTGACCGGTATAACTAGCAAAGTGGAGTCTAATTCCTTCTGCAGAAGTAGAAGTTCACTAGAACTTATTTCCCCAGAATTCAACAGAAAGCGCAAAAATGGCTCTCCAGAAAACTTCGGAAATGTGAACGTCCATTCCCTTTATTTCTGAGATGTACTGTATTTACTTTTTAATGATTGGTGCAGTACAGAAACGATGGAGTAGTTTCTCTACTGAATTCATGAAATTTTTGTCTGGTATTGCACAGCACATTGAATACTGTATTCCCATTCCCATCAGGGAGTTCCACTTTAAGTGAGACGGTTCTGTGATTGTGTGTGTTTCTCAGTGTGTGTACGCCCTGTTATGGGCCCTCACCCATTAATGACACCTCGTAACCTATGCTGCTTGGGATTGGCTTCTGTCTATCACAGCCACACCTTGAAAGTAATGATGAAAATACTGGTTCAGTGTCAGATGGAACCAGCTGTCCTGTTCTGGGAAGGATCCCAGTTTTCTGTTATTCCAGCAGGCAAACCACCTGCAATTCAGACTAGGTAATCCATCTGAAGCTAAGCAGGTTTGGGCCTGGCCAGTACTTTGATAGGAGATCAACTAGGAAAGTGGGTTGCTGTTGGAAGAGGTGTTGGTGTGGTCAACAGGTTAGTCTTTCCTGTGGTCTGTGTGGGTCCCAATGCCCAAGTGCAGTGATGGGGACTCTGTGGCCAACAGGGTAGTCTATCCTGTGGTCTGTGTGGGTCCCAATGCCCCAGTGCAAAATAGTGTGTAAAAATGGTGCCGTTCTTCGGATGAAATGTAAAACCGAGGTCCTGACTGTATGAGGTCATAAAAAATCCCTGGGCATCTTTCAAAAGAGTAGGGGTGGTAGCCCAATGTCCTGGTTAAAATTGCCCACTGTGGCCCTATTAAATTTGGCCTCCTAGAACCCCCACTGGTTTTAGACAGCGATATAAAAAATCCTTTATCCCTTTATCTATTCATGTACTCAACTTAAGAGAACAGGAGGGATAGCCCTTGTCTGTCTTAGTGACCTCTCTGTTGAGATATTTATTTACTTATTATTTACTGGATAATTTTACAATAATTTATTTTTTTAATTCTCTTATTCTGGTAGAAGTTTTCGTGTTTCGTCTGTGTTGAATGTTGTGTGTTTTATGGGATGTATTCCTGCTGCACAACAATTGCCCTCTTAGGACAAAGAATAAAGCGAAGTGAACTGCTAATCATCCCCTGCATCTAACTGGTGAATTCTCTCCTGCCCCTTCACCACCTTAGCTACTGTGCGGTGAGCGTCCTGGTGCACAACGGCTGCTGCCATATCAACCAGGTGGGGGCTACACAGGGGTGGTGGTCGAATTGGCTCCCCATTGATTCTGTAAAGTGCGTTGGGTGTTTGAAAAGTGCTATATTCCTCACGCGCGCATTTTTCCGGCAAAATGCTATGGTGCAGTTGCTGAGATGTCCTTGGATTTCAAGATTCTAAGTGTTAATTGTCACATACACAATTATACTAAGAAAGTGAGTACAATGTGCAGTGAGATGCATGGCTGTCTAGATGCAAACTGTGGAAAACAGGGCCGTGTTTAATAGACGCGACGGAGATAAGACATAACGTATTGCAAACAGAAATTAAATAATAATCATGAAATGTCTAAGGTTTGCAGGATTGCCAGTAAGGAGATGCACCTCACGGGCCTTGTGGGTTAAGTAGGCTGTTGAGAACATTGTTGTGCGGGTCCTACACTCTATCTTCATTTAGGATCTGGATTGCCTGGGGACAGAAGCTCTTCTACAGCTGCTCTCAGCTGGCCTTCAGTCAGCTGTCGCGTTTGCCCGGCCTCAGCACAGAGGAGACATCATTTCTGGGGTGGCCAGCATCCTTACTAGTCTATGCGGCCCTGGACTTGCATCGTCTAATGTAAATGTTCTGGAGGTTGGGAAGTGCAGGTCCGATTGTGCGTCTGGCTGACTGTATAACCCTCTTCAGAACCTCTTGGTACCTGCCGTGTGCTGTTCTTGAGCCAGGCGCTGATGCTCCCTGTCAGGATGCTCTCGACAGTGTCACTGAAGTTCTTCAGCACTGGGCAGTGACAGCCTGAAGCTCCTGAGATGTCTAAGGTGGTACAGGCGTCGGTGAGCCTTCCTCACTAAGGAGTCAGTGTGCAGAGACCAAGTCAGGACTTTGGTAATATGAACACTGAGGTACCTGAAGCTGCCTTCCCTGTCCACAAAAGCAGCATCATAATGACATGGTGTTAGTCCCTTTGCTGTTTCCTCCTGAAGCCACAATCATTTCCTTTGTCTTGCTGACACTGAGGAGGAGACTGTTGTCCTGGCACCAAAGTGACAGCTTCTTCAGCTCCTGCAGGCCGGCCTGCTTTTTAGCATTGCGGATCTGGTCTACCTGCAAACTTGACAGTGACATTGGGGCCGAACGTGGCCCTGCAGTCGTAGGTGTACAGGGGGTACAGCAGGGCTCAGCACACAGCCCTGGGGGCCGCCACACTGAGGGCGAGGCTCGACGAGGTGTTGGGGTCTGTTCCTCAGTCTGATGCTATCAACTGTCACTATTACCCTTAATTTAATATGTAGTTCAGGCAATGAAGAGAGAGGACAATGGAGATTAGAGGACAAATTGTTCTCGTACGATATATTTGCACAATATACTGAAGTTATGTGTGATTTAAAATGTGATGTATCATTTGTACTTGAATGAGGATGAAAACAGTGGATTTGCCCCTCTAGTTCACTGCACCTCACTAAGACCTCATCCTTAATGTAATTTAAATTCCCATTTACTGGTGTCAGTGTTATGTTCCCTAAGAAACACTATTGTAGCGTTCACCAAAACATGCCCTGTCTCCTGGGATGGGGAGCAGTTGTTTTTCAAAGCTATGGGTGTAAAATCTCTTTAAAAAGCAGGCAGTGTCAGTGCATTTGCATGTGCTTTGTGAATCGGGAAACCACACGCACCTCACTGGGGGAGGGGGGGGGGTGCTTTTGCATTTTTCTTTCCAGCACAGCTGTTGCAGTGCCTTCTTATGACTATGGCTCACATATGCCTATTTTTAATTTATTTATTTTCAGTTGGACGTGTTGGATGTAATAGTATTGTAGAATTGTATAGACTAGGCAGAGAAATGGAGCCCCCCCCCCCCACACACACACAGTTACACACAAAGTTAGCACATTTTGGGTTAGTAGATCCTAAAATGCCATCTGTTCTGACCCATCTCACTCTCGTCATTATTACTCAAAATCCACATGAAATAAATGCAGCTTTATTTAGTTTTCATGTATCCCATCATACTTTGCTTTAAGACATACAAACATGTACAGGTGAGAACAAGCCTGGGTAAGGGAGGAGGGTCCGCCCGTTCTTGGAGAATCAGTCGAGGTGACAGTGGCGATGTCACTATTCTGTCAACTTTTCGATTTAAACTGGCGACCTTCTGATCACAGACACAGAGGCATATCCCACTCATTTATGTTACAACCCATAATGCCAGTGCTCTGTCCAACTTCCTGGGTGCTGGGTGACCCACATTACGTATCAGATAGAAAATATTTAGATTGTTTTTTTTTTATTTTTTGATTTGGCCAAATGGCTTTGTAAGGAATCACTAAGCTCCCACATATATGCTTTGCCTCATTTATCTCTGCATACCTGCTTTGCGTTATTCAGGATCTTCCCCTGCCTCTTCCCACGGGTTATATTTTCCACATTTCGTACTCAGCAAATTGCTTTTGCGGCCCGCAGATGAGTTACAGGCATCGCCTGCCGGTGATCTGATCTCTTCGTGGGGGTCAGCTGTTGTTCCGGGGGCTGGCTGGGGGCATAAGAGCTGCCCCTCAGATTGGACCTTTGGCGCCTCTTGATCTTAGGCTGAGTGTCTTTGTGTTTTGACTTGTAGGGCTGAGCGGAATGGAAACACATACAGTCACACACAGAAACAAGCACATCCCCCAAGCAGGAGAGCTGCTACTCTGTTTAACAGAGTACAGGAAGTACACTGCTGTCATAGTGGAACCTCTGTGTCCCATTGGGAATGGGATATTATTACCGCCGTGAATGTAATTCAGCTGCTTCCATGCCACTACTTTACTGGAGCTGAGACTAGGTGGATACAGTGTAACATATCTGATGATGATGAAGAGCTGGTTTTTGTTCTTGTATTTCATCTCTGCATTTATTTATTTATTTATTTTAAATTCACTAAGAAATTGAAGTCCAGCTTCTCTGATGTTTCACACTGACATGGCCTGCCTCCCACTGGGGGATGCTGTATTCCTAATTCGGTCAGTGCCTCGGTTTCCCGGCATTTTTGCAGTTAATGAAGTTGGCTTCAGAAAGTGTGCCACTCCTTTTGGTGTCAGTGAGTCTCTCATCGCGTTATTGCTGCAGTAACCTTAAGCGCTGACGTCCGCCTCTTCTTGGCTGCTCGTAGGATGAAACCGGCGCCTATCTCATAGACCGAGACCCGGCCTTCTTTGGTCCACTGCTGAACTACTTGAGACACGGCAAACTGGTCCTCAACAAGGACCTCGCAGAGGAAGGTGTGGTCTCATACAGTGCCGTCTTTCTAAACTGCTCAAGTGAAACTACACGAAAATCTCTGCAGATTCTTGGGTCATTTGTCTTCTACACAATGCGTTTAGCTTTCCATGTCTGATTATTTATTGATATAATACATCTTATATTCAAACTCATGTGCATCTCTTAATGAAATACGCTGCTACGCCTTGCTTTTTTATCCAGTGGCTTCTCTCTGTACCCAAGGTGCACTGGAGGAGGCTGAATTCTACAATATCACTGCATTAATAAAGCTCATCAAAGACAGGATCAGGGAGAGGGACACCCGACACCTGCAGGTAGGCTGACCCGATGCCAGGCGTTACGTCACATGCATGTCAGACGTGCTGCTTCCTCATTCAGCGTTTTCAGCATTCCGGAAGAGCACATATCAGACCTCAGCTGATATTCGAAGCCGGAGCCCCTGCGTTTGCTCTGCTGTATCTTCCCACCAGGTGCCAGATGGATACATGCGCATTTCTGAGTCTGAGAGGCCATTTTCCATTTGAAACACACCTGTGGTATCCATCATGCAGGAGACAGGGATGCATTTTTTTCTAAGCTGCTGCAGAATATATTTCCCAGAAAGTCCCCACTGATATTCCGGAAAAAATGACAGCGATAAAAGCAGGGTTACCATTCTATCACACTGTAAGCTCTTATTTAGCACTAAGCTTCATAGCCCATCATGATATTCTTAGGTGGCTTTTGAGAGCTACTAGACTTATTGTCATGTCACAATTTGCACAGAATAAACAGTGAAGTTCCTACAGTATGTAGCAGCAATGTGCAGAGTAACCTATATAAGATTGTTTCTTCCATCTGAATGTCGGCTCCTTGTTTCACCGGCGAGGCCCATTCTTGCACATGGCATTTGTTGGTACCATATTCTAATCTGTTTTTCAAATTCTATGTATGTATACTGCAGCACATTCATGGGACGCCTTCGTCTTCCCTTAGGGTTAAACCATCATGCCACACCCATGTAGGCCTGTCACCTCTGTCAGCTGCCAGACTAGCTTTGCATTTCTATATTAAACCATCCCTGATCTGAACAATATCTTCTGTTGCTCAAGTTGACCCTGACAGCAGACAAAGTTACTCAGTCCGGAATCTCCACAAAAATGTGCTCATCTGCATGTCTCTTATTATCCATCCATCCATTTTCCAAACCTCTTAACCTACTGGGTCGCGGGGTGTCCGGAGTCTATCCCAGAACATGTCTATTATTATTATTATTATTATTATTATTATTATTATTATTATTATTATTACTACTACTACTACTACTACTACTACTACTACTACTACATTACATTGTATTTATATATCCCGAGCAACATACTTTTTGTTTATTTATTTCTTTATGTATTTTTTGAGTAAGCGGGTTAGACGGTGCTTGGATCAGTTTGGGGTTAAGGGCCTCGCTCAGGGGCCCGATGGTGACGTCATTCTGCTACCAGCGAGCAGCTCATAGTTGTGAGGGAGGCACAGCAATGGGGCACCAAGGATCAGGGACTAGGAGTAGGAGCAGAAAATGATGCGAAACAGAGTTGGGATTTTCCCCTGAGAGACGCCGATGTTTTTATGGATAACTGACATTATAGTACGCGGGTTCTGTTTAGTTGTTTAACTGACCTTGATTTATGCCCACTAAGGTTTAGTTGTACTAAACTTGACTAAAGATGCATCACTGACGTAAACCTGATGTAGACTGGGTACATTTTCATCTTCCGCACCTGTGGTTTTGTTGTGGGTGCATATTGTATATCTGAAGACTCACCTTGTCTTCCAGGTATCCATGAAGCATGTGTATAGGGTTCTTCAGTGCCAAGAAGAGGAACTAACCCAGATGGTCTCCACTATGTCTGATGGTTGGAAGTTTGAGCAGGTATCAGTAGAAAAGCACACGCAAGATTCATGTCTAGTATCAATGACTCAACTGTGCCTGTAGTACAAATCTGTTATAAATTGTATGGAAGTTTTATGAATTTGAAGTGAACTATGCTGTAAATGCTTAGCATTTCTATTGAAATACTTTGTTTTAGAATGATACTCTACATATCGCAAGTGTCAGGACATAAATTTGAGTTTTCATAGTATGCGAAACAGACCTTACTCATGCACATTCAAAAGAGGACCTGTAGCCAACAATCACTCTTCTCAGATGATATCAGGATCGTATTTATTTTTAGAATGAACAGTATTTATTTGGATTTTCTTTTTCATCGGATGGATTTTCGTCTTTTTCATCAATGTGTGCAGTAGAGTAAGGGTATATGGGTTTATAAGGGTATATGTATATATAAGGGTATATGGATATGTAAGGCTATAGGGGTATGTATGGGTATATGGATTTGTAAGTGTATATGGATATGTAAGGGTGTATGTAAGGTTGTAGGGGTATGTATGGGTATATATGGGTATAAGGGTGTAGGGGTATGTAAGGGTATATGGGTATAAGGGTGTAGGGGTATGTAAGGGTATATGGGTATATAAGGGTGTAGGGGTATATAAGGGTATATGGGTATATAAGGGTATAGGGTTATGTAAGGGCATATGCAATTTGGCTTCAGCTGCAATCACAGTAATTAATTCTGCAGCCTTTATAAAGATTGTTCTGACAAACCAGCAACAATATCTGTCCCTGTGGTGCCATTCTTTCTGTCCTTGAGAAAAATATTTTAACACAACACAAGCCCACAATACACTGTTTATTATAATTTCTCCAAGCAACATTGCTGTTACTCTTTGTTGTAAGGATTATATAATCATGCATTATATATTAGTGTATAGCTTCCATGTTTCAATTCAGCACTTGTCCAGTCTTTTCATATGTATCATATTTTCATAAGTTATTTATAAAATATTTAGATTCCAGTTTCAACAATAATGTTGAAGTACATTAGTTTCATTAGTGCAGGTTTGTTGCGAGACCAATAGTTTTGTAATAAAATTTCAGTTAGATGCAGAACATGGTAATAGGCATTTGTGTAACTAGTGAAGTGTCTGCCTTTGTTAACCTTCCATGCTACATTGATTGGCACCATAGTATAAAGTGTATTTCATCTTCAGTGAAATGCTTTGAAAAGCTGGCATTTTTCATGAAAACCCACCAGTACATCCAGCTGTAAAATGACTCCCTTTTAACCTCTTAATGGTTGTTGCAGCTTGTCAGTTTAGGCTCCTCGTATGGCTACGGACGGGATCACCAGTCTGAGTTTCTGCTGATTGTATCCAGAGAGGTGAAGGCTGTGGAGGCCGGCTTTCCGGTGAGTCTGGCAAGGTGTCCCCTCCTACTCCCTCTGTCATGGCCCAGCTCCTCAGCCTCTCATTTTTCAGCCCTGCATCCCTTAGTCTCACTTCCCTCAGCCTTGCATCCCACAGCTCCACATCCCTCAGCCCCTCATCCCATAGCTCCGCATCCCTCAGCCCCGCATCCCTCAGCCCCACATCCCTCAGCCCCACATCCCTCAGCCCCTCATCCCTCAGCCCCTCATCCCTCAGCTCCGCATCCCCTCAGCTCTGCATCCCCTCAGCTCTGCATCCCCTCAGCTCTGCATCCCTCAGCTCCGCATCCCTCAGCCCTGCATCCCCTCAGCTCTGCATCCCCTCAGCTCTGCATCCCCTCAGCTCTGCATCCCCTCAGCTCCGCATCACTCAGCTCCACATCCCTCAGCCCCACATTCCTCAGCTCTTCCTCCCTCAGCCTCGCATCCATCAGTCTCTCTGACAGGCCCCTCTTTCCTTTCACAGAATTACATTTATCAAATTGATTTGTGCACCATACTTCTAAAGACTGATAATTCCAATACCCAGTTTGGCTATTTCACTTTTTAACTGGTGATAACTTTCGTAGAAAGAAACTTTATATACTGTATGTGGCCTCGGAATCTATGTAAGAATAATGATTAAGTCACTAAGTCACAGTTTTTCTGTTTAGTAAAGTATTTTTGTTCAATTCGAGATTTAAGATTTATTTTCTCATTGTCTTCCACTGCTCCATCCACTAATCCATCCATTTTTAAATAACCACTTGTCCAGTGTGGTTTTCAATGATTCTTAAAATTTCTCAAATTTACAAGACAGAAACACAATCAGCTGTCGCCTCTTCATTCTGACCAGGCGCGTCTGAAGGAAAGGAATGACCAAGAACAGGAGGAGCAGTTTCAGGTTCCCAGCTTAGAGTGGTGTGATTGGGCATGAGTGAAGGATCCAGTGATGTGCAGAAGATAAACTGGACTGGTGTATAACAAGGACACAGTGGTGTGGCTTCTTATTAGGAGATGCAGTGCAGGATGCACAGGAAAAAGCATAGAAACAGAACATCCTCAGCATTGACAGGCCATGAATTCTGCTACCCCATGCAGATTGCCTTAGTCTATGGAACAGAGTGAATGCAGGAGAGTAACTGGTGTCACTGTACTGCCAGCTGCTTTATCCACTTTTCTCTGCTTTCATCCAGCCTGTCACTGGCGGTCCTGTGGCAGTAATAGAGTATTTGATGAAATCTAACTTACCATGCTTATTACGATCATGCTGTTGAATACACATTGTGAATACAGTTCATCTCCTAGGATTAAATCAGTGCTTTGTTATTTCTGGATCAAAGATTAAAATAAGATCTTTAATGTCATGATCATATTGCAAGCATGAAGTGACTTTGTAAAATACGCCAGTGTCCAACAAGATTTTTTTTCTTCTTAGTCATTTGCATAACATTTACATTTATTTATCTGATTCTTTTGGCCAAAGTTGCGTACAAGTCGGGTAAACAGCACATTTCAAATATATTGCGTAAGTGCATCTATGATGAGCTTCCAGTGAATGACCAGGTACAGGTGTAAGCAGCATCGGAGCAGGAGCGACACGATAAACAAAGCAAGGTCCTAATAAGACAACTATTTAAATCAGCAGAAAGTGCAGCACTGAGAACATTCAGGTAACAAGAGTGAGGCAGGTATGTTTAGCGATGTGCGGCAGGTATGTTTAGCGATGTGCGGCAGGTATGTTTAGCGATGTGCGGCATCTAGTAACGTCAGCAGGAAGCACAGCATTCTGGGAACGTGGCCTGGTGGATTAATCCAATATTTTCACTTTTATGCATTTGGTCGTACATGAACCCATTCATTTTCAAATTTCATTGGTGAACATGCGCTGCTGATGTATCGCATGTGTTTATGTCCTGCCAGCCCTTTTAGAAATACTCAAAAGAAACTAATAGCAGAGCCTTAGCTAGTGGTTTAGCAATGGTGGGCTAGGACTGCACAACTGGAACTTAGCAAGGACAAATAGGTCTGAGGAAAATATGCGTTGTCTGGAGGCCCACTGAGCTGTAATTAGCGGTCTCCCTCGGCAACCGGGCGGGGCGCCCCTGCAGCCATGCGTGTGTGAACAAGCCCGTCGAAGCAGCCTGCTCCGGCCTGCTGCGTCTGCGGAGCTCTGCGCATGCCGTGAGGAGGCTCAGCCCGTACGCATGCGCTCGCTCACACACCCTTCACAGGGTGTTCGCGATGTTAGAAGAAGCTTGAGGAAAGTAGCAAAAGGTGCCTTTCTCATGTTTGCTGAAGTGAATGTAGTGCAGGGAAGATCACTATCGAAAGCAAAATGTCACCTTGGTTGCGGTTGGTTAAGTATTTGCACAAATGCAAAATGTCTCCTGCTATAAACAATACATTTCTGATCTCTGAAAAGTCATGCTGTGTCTGTCAATGTCTTTTCACAGGTGGTAAATATTGGTTCTTCTTATAACTATGGAAATGAAGAGCAGTCTGAGTTCTTGTGTGTGGTCTCCAAGGAGCTGAATAACCAGTCATCTGTTACAAACAGTGAGCCAACTGGAAAGGCCAAGGTGAGATGTACTGTAGAAATCTAGTTTACTCCTAGAATTGATTACACTCAAGCATTATAGTGAAATCTTCTCTATCCAGTTTTACGTGTTCACTGCAAATCTATTAAACAACAGATGACAAACATAGAACTATAGACCTAGACTGCAAATACTCCTGTCACCTTCACAATGACTTTGTCATTTGACACCGTTGCTGTCATTTCTGTTAGGCAGCACATCAGGGAGTCCGATTCAGCAACTCTGGTAGTACACTATCATACTAAAGGTCCAAATAAATAACAGCTGCATATATGGATATTAAAATACACATATTTCTTGAAATAATTACTACACATTACTGAAAAGCCTATTTGCTTTATATACAAGATATTTAGAACTACTTCAAACAAGCAGTATTTTTTGCATTACAAAACTATGCAAAACAAATGACATGTCAGCCCACTCAAATTTTGTTTTTCAAAGGAAAATGCAGGAGGTACCTGCAGCAGGTGCCTGTTCTCAGTCTTTATTGTGCCAACGTCCAGTAATGCACAGTGTCATTTCTGTTGTTAAAGGAAGAGATTTTTCTCAAGCCACTTAAAATGTTTTCGCTGTCCAATGAAAAATAGGAGCATGAAAAAACGCATTTTCTGAGAACCTGCTAACCTTTAAAACAACGTAATGAGACATCCTTAGCGCCACAGATACAAACCTGCCTTTACACAGCTGTCAGCCAACAGTTTAATGTTTTAAAGGGACGGGTGGGGTTTTGTCAGCAATGCAAATAAACCACTATCAATAAGATACAAACTAATACCCATCATGAATACATACATAAATACTAAACATACTAAATACTAAAATATATACTGTGTGTATATACACTAAAAGCTTCATAAAGCCTCTTTGGTCAATTAGATGTCAGTAGAGGGGAAAGTGGGGGCTGTTCCATTTATAGTAAAGTGTCATAAAGTGGATATACTGTACAAGGTTTTCACCAGAGAGTGAATACACAACAGCATAATCACTCCTGTCAACTGACTGCTTGCTGGCTGAATCCAGGGTCAGCCATTTGTGTTTTTGTCCTTCTGGTGCACATCTCCACTGGTTCCAGTGCTGCTTCTGTACAGCAGCAACAGACGTAAGTGTTTTATTGACTGGATGGAGAGATGTGCACTTTGAGAGCATAATGCAGGATGAGTCCTTTCTCTAACTCTCATCTACTGCAGGCTCATAGCAACAAGGAAATTGCTAGCAGTTGTTGGGTGTCTACCCATAACCAATCAGCAGAATGTGTCGATAATATATCTATATGTGTCCCTGTTTTCCTGTTACAGATTCTACAAGAACGTGGATCACGAATGTGAAGAGGCAGTATGCACAACCTCAAAATGTTCTGTTTATAAAAATACCAGCCTTATCGCCTTTGACAGCGAGCACTTAGTAAGGAAGATCCCCATTCCTTTACATTGTGGATTGAATACGAAAACATATTTGGTGACTTAATATTTATTCTTATATAGGTCAATTCTTTTCTATTTCAAAACTGGAAATATTTATGTCCTTCAAAGTCAATAATGAACTCAGGGCGTCGAGTAATTGTATTTAATTCATAATTATAAGGGTCAGGTCATCAAAATATATATTGTATTCGTTTTAGGCAAAACATATTTCTGAGAAGTATGGATTTATGCAATTAATTTGGATTTATGCAATTTATTAGGAGTAGAGCGAGCCATGGAGAAGGTTCTAGGTGTTGACACATTTTTAAAATGTGCGTCCTTCTGCCTCATCCGTTGTAAGCTGAAAACCTCAACATGCAGCGGGTGAAAAATGCCGATCCTGTCATGACAGCCACACCTCCTGTCGAAAGGGCTGAGACACAGGGCCTCTGGAGAGAGAAAACTGGATCATTTTACACATGTTGCTGTCTGTAGTTTACTTGAAATTGGGCAAAAAAAAGAACAAAAAATGTCTAAATATTTACAGTGGAATTGGAACGTTTTGCATAAAGTAGGTAACTGCATTAAATCCAGCACCGGCACATTAAGTTTGGGTTAGAATGCATTGCAGCATTCCCGTAATGCAGACTTCCCATAATGCAGCATTCCCGTAATGCAGACTTCCCATAATGCAGCATTCCCGTAATGCAGACTTCCCGTAATGCAGCATTCCCGTAATGCAGCATTCCCGTAATGCAGACTTCCCGTAATGCAGACTTCCCGTAATGCAGACTGCCCACCTCTCCAGGAAGGACCCCCCAGCTCGGGGCAGATTTTACCCTCACAGCCCAGAATTTTGATGGTATTTTCTGGTAAAACTTGTGGGGGGGGGTTATAAAAAGGGGTATTTCCAAGCAAAAAAAACACCAGGGTGTAGCATGTCACTGTAAGTGCACCCCAGGCCCCAGCCCGGCTGTCCCTCATCCGATTCCCTGAAATTCCCTGAGTTTGCCTAAGGTGGCATGTCTCTATATTGCTTTGGTGGTACATCACTGATTTACAGACTTAAAAGCACACCAGGCATCTGGTGTGCTGCAATATTGTTTATATATACAGTGTATATATACAGTGCTGTGCAAAAGTCTTTATCTGGACAGTGAGGGTGTGCAGTGGACCTTTCTATATTGTGATGTTTCCCTTCATGTTTCCGATATTTGCATTCGCGTAAAAAAATCACACGGGAATTTTTTGGGAGTTTTGCGAAAGCTGCCGATGGCACACAAAAAGTTTAGTAACTCATAAATGCATGAGATACACGTAGCGGTGCTGGTTTGGAGGACGCCAGGCGTGTTTGTAGCAGCTTCGCACGTCTCGCAGTGATCTCACAATCATCTTGCAGTGATCTCGCAGTGATCTCACACTGGTCTCTCAGTCTCGTATTTCTTGTATCTTTTTGTGCCACTCGCCATGGGGGCCAAAAAAATGTACGTGGTTTTTCCAGATGGTGGGGGCCCTTGTCTGTAACCCCTGTGGTGTGTGACAGTTAACTGTATTCACTCAGAAAAATGTTAAATATTAGAATAATTACTAATAAGCAACAATAATACAATAAAAAAAGAAAAATATTTTTTTTCTGTTCTCCGAAAAATGACTGATATCTTGCTGGGTGACTAGATGAACACGGCTTCAGCTCCCAAACCTTCTCCTCAGGGGCACCTCAGACATTCCATGTGCTTGTTAAATTTCATCAATAGCTCACCTAACTAACTTACAGAATTCAATGAGCATTGATTAGCCAAACACTGTATGCTAGCAGCTGAGGCAGCAAATACATGGGTATATTTAATGGTTTTGGCCTGGGTTTGAAATGACTAACACTTACACATAGGATCATAATTTTACAAAAACATACATTGAGCATCATAAGCTAATCATTCCCTGCTGAGACTGCTGCCCCCACGACCCGACCTCGAATAAGCGGAAGATAATGGATGGATGGATGGATGGATGGATAAGCTAATCACTTTCTGCAGCAGACTAAATCTTTTGCACAGTACTATATATCATCAAATTATGTGTGTGTGCATGGGTTGTACAAAAAGTTTACTGGAAATTGACTGTTAGACTTGTTGTGTTGATGTGCTGATTTTCTTACCGACTTCTTCAAAAATAGAAAAATATATGTATATAATGTTTTTGTTTTGTGTTATTGAACACAGAAATATGTGTAATATATTTGCATTTAAGACACTGCAGTAAAGACACTGAGGATATACAGTAGAAAGAGGCGTCAAGACATTGCTATGCATTTAGCTTTATTAAACAGTGGTTATTGAAACCTTATTAAACTCTGGGTCAGTTTCCATACAAAGGACTTAATATACTGAGTTAACACACACTGTACATGTTTCATATCTCAGTCCATGCATGAAGAAGAAGCTGTAGTCTAATATGTGTTTAACTGACCATTTGTAATAGCATTTTTTTTTTTGTTTTTATTGCTTTTAATGGCAACAACCTGAATCTCCATTATCGGGGATGTTATATTGTAGAGAGGTAAGCACATCTCCCGTGCGTTTTCATGCAAAGCATGGAGTCAGGGCTCTGTGTTGTAGACTTCCAGTCTGCGTAGAGGCTGTTTCTCAGTGCAGTAGCTTTTTGCTGCCATTGTTTACATTGGCCGCACTGTTTTAGTGCCTCCCGGTAATATTCTCGCCTTGAGTTACCATCTTTTGAGTTTCTCCTATATGTATGTTTACAGATCTCTTTTATATGCATAATTTTATAGCCTTTAACACAGCTAAAGGTGGTTAGGCTTGGACCTGTGGCCTTTCTGCAGGGACTTGTTATAATCATGCTGAGGTGTTGAGTCCCAGCTCTCTCGTGACACATAGTACAGACACGCCTTAACCCCCTCCCCCCCACCCCAATTCTTAGTGACCTTGGGTTGATGAGGGTCACGCATTCCTTTGGCACCAGCAGCTGAAGGGTTTGTGACCCCAGGCATCTGGCACTGCAATACATTGCTCTCTTTTCCGGTCCTTTCTGTACATCTCGATTCCCTTTGTTCCAAATCAGCCTCTAATGTAGCAACTAATCATGGCAAATTCCAGAAGTTTCTTTGTGTTTCCCCTGCCAGGTGTGCCCACCGATTTGTTCAATCACAGACTAATAATAACAGCATAAATTATTTTGCACACTTTTGTCACTACTGTTAATATATTATCTAACATATATTACATTGTTTTACTTTTTATGTTGTTCTCATAGTCATAGATAAAATGACTGTGGAAACATATATTTGATGGTTATGGTAGGAAAAGCAATCTAAGTTTAAATAAATAAATGATCTCAAAGTTTACATGCAAACTCTTCGTCTCCGAGTCCTTTTTTTTTGCCCGGTGGAGATCTTATAAGTTCCCTTTTATAAGCCACACCTTGAAACAAGTTCTGTCAGAACACAACTGCAATGCTTAATAATACATTCCAGACAAGTTTAGACATGGATTAAAACAAAGGGATAGAGGCCATTTTGGTTATTCAAGTTTTCTGCCAATTGTTGACCGTACATATGAGCATCACTGCTGAAGCAAGTGATTAAAACCAATATCTGTTAGTGTAACATTTCTCTAAGCGCTGTAATTGCTGCAGTATCAAGCACAATCAAGTGCTTCAACAACCACAATGAGCTACGGCTGTGTTGGACAGAGACAGAATCCCGTTACTCAGCTATGTGCCTTGTTTGTGTGATGGCGCCCCCTAGTGTGTGATGTCTTCCTTGAGCCTGAGGAGGCTCAGTTATACAGTAAAGCCATTCTTGTTAATATACACTAGCAGTCAAAAGTTTCACAGGTTTTTGCCACTTTTCCATTTATTTCATAAACTGCAGATTTTTTATTCTTGTAAAGCATGGGAAAGTTGAATGAACAACTATAAATGAAAATATAAGTAAAATAATACAAGTTTCCTTTATAACATGGAAAGACTGTTCTTTAAATGCATTAGTTAACTGCTTCATGCCATGAAACGGAGCAGTATTTACTGTCCCTGGTAGAAAAGGATGCCTAGAATTTTCTCTCCTGTTATAACTGCTAGAGGAGGTTACCAGGACAGCAAGAGGAATCAAAGATATGACATTTTCTTGCAAACAAAGGTACACAAATGTGAACATACTGTAAATTTATTTGTTAGCAAAGAATCTTAAGTGTATTTTAAATAAATGTTAAATGAGTAACATGCAAATGTAGAAAATCTTAGTGTGTGCAAAAAACTTTTCACTGGTTGTGTTTATGTGTTTTTTTTTTCTTTAATTCCACATACAACATCAATTAATTTACATTTCAATTTATGTAATTAATTTTCTGTTTCAGAATGTTTTATGTACTTTATATGTAATTTGTTTGCGGCATGTTTACTTGTCTGAGTTCTGTCTGTGCACTTTGTTTTGCACTCTCTATTTGTATGTGTGTACTTTACGTACACTGCTGCTGTGTGCACGAGAATCAAAGTAAACACAGACACACACACATGAACTATGGGCAACTTAAAGACAGCATGTAACTGAAAGTCTGTTTTGGAGATTATTATTAAAACATTTTAAAATCATATTTTGAGAACAATACAATTGCTAATGTCTATGTTTAAATCCCAAAATTATCCTTCTACATGAATATGCAACAAAACAATGGCGTAATCCACCATATAATATATACACAATTTCAAATATTTATAAGAAATATTACAGGGTCTGTATTACTGACAGTATGGCTCATTTAGCTGTTTTGATGCGCAAACACGTCTCATTGGATGTGTCATTAGAAACCCCATCTGAGCATCCATTCTCTATACCCACTTCTAATGTGCAGGGTTGTGGGGTTATCACATATTATGTAGCTTTATTCTTGTAGGAAACTAAGCATATTTGGTTAATGCCCAACTTCTCAAACACCTAGTTGTTCTAGAGATATTTGTAGAAGTTCGAAGGTGATTTTAATATTTTATAAACAGTTTTTAGAGGAGAGGACTGATGATCTCACCTCCAGAGTTGGGGCTTTGAACCCAGTTCCTGCTCTATGTGTGTGGAATTGGCATCTCCTCCCCATCTCACATGGCTTCCCTGCAGGTGCCCTGTTCTCCACCTACAATCCAAAGATCTGCACCCTGCCCTATGATCCGTGGTTTTAAGGATGGGCTCCGGACCCTCCAGGACTCTGTACTGGACAAGAGGCTGGAAGCTGGATGCATATTTTGTTTATATTAATAGCACACAAATTATAGAGGTTCCTTGAACAAATTGAAAAAGAAGTTAAAAGTTCAGTTGAGACCAAATGAAATGAAGCTGGTTTTTTTTTGGGTTGGAATTGTGTCCACTAGAATTATTACTGAAGGCTGCTGCATAGGCATCCAGATGTAGTTTTCTTTGTGAATAGTCTTCTGTGTATTCCTTCAATCCCCCCTCAAAACTAGAACTTCTTTTTAATCTCAAGAATCTTCCATGTGTATTTCCTTCTTCAATTACTTTACAAATGGCATTATAATCATTGCATTTTCTGGGAGCATTCTGGAATTTGTGATTCCATATTTACATGTTTTGACTCATTATTTTAACTTCTTTGATATTTCCACGGTGTCTTCTGTTATTTACTTTGATATCTTTGGATCTTTCGCTGGACCATTCTTTTTCAAACCTTGTATAACGTCTTTGAATTTCATCTATAGTTCTTCAGGTTCTCTATTTTTTCAGGATCTCATATCAGTTACTGATATTTTCCTTGAGGGTGATGGGTTTGTCCTCTAGGATATTTCTTGGAAGTTGAATGCCTATTTTGCTTTGGCTTCTTTTGAAGCTTGCAAATAAGCAGTTTGTGATCTGAACTGCGAGATGTTTTTACTATTCAAACTCAGCTCTTCCATTGTTTGAAGCTGACATTATAATCTGCTTCATTTCTGTGAACTGTATGTGATGATGTCCGGGGGTAAAGAGGATGCTTTGATTGCTTGAAGAATGAATTGGCACTGATGAGGTCGTCAGATTACAGAAGCTGATTGGGTGATCCTCAGCTCTGTTTCCGTTTCCAAGCCCATATTCACCAATCGTATTTCACACCTTGTTTTCCGTCCATGACTGACTACCAGAGCTTGTGGAACTGTCATAATGAAAGGGTGTCTACAGATATTAAATCAATATCAGTTTGTCATTCACAGTATTGTACTGAGTTACGTTCTTTCCATTCTCCTTTCTAACTTTGAAAGCCACACCATTTCTTCTTATAGTTGCCCAATAGTAAATGATGAGTTTGCATGACTAAAAGTGTCCAAGACCAATAATCTGAACTTTGCTAATGAACACTAAATCAGCTTGTAAGTGACCTTTAGAACACACAGCTCCTCTTGATTCAGGCTTGGTTCTTTTCATGTTCCAGCAGGGATGCATTCTTTGCAGATTTGGATTTTTTTTATTAAACATGAAAAAAATAAAATAAAACAAAAATATATATATATATTTGTGGTTTATACTCCCACAGATCCCAAGCACCCTCCTTCTTAGATTTGTGTGTATTGCGGCACCAATATCTTTCTCTTATTCTTTTTAATTTAGTGCACATCATTTAATGAATGACCTAAATGCAGCTTATTCCGGCACAGAGACACAAAGAAAAAAACTCAGATTTTGCCTGAACTTGATTTATATTTGGATGTGATGTCCAAGCCTGGTGAAAATGTTTTAGTTTTAAATTGCATCTTTTTTTTTCCCAAGACCCAAAACTCATCTGTGGCATTTTTGTGATGAAGAACGCCTTCGTTGTTCGTATGTTATGACACAGGACTAGCACCTCTAAATTACAGGGCATTTCCTGTTACCTTAATCCTGTCTGGCAGTAATTATAAAATGTGCACAGCACTGGTAAAATAAATGTTGGGTTAGGCAGCATCGTTCTACTTATTTGAAAAATGTGTCTTTAATTTATATCTTATTGTGATTTTAATTCTTAAAATAGTGTTCAAATTGAGAAATAACTATTTTCAAATTTTAAAGGGGTGTACTTCATATAAAAAAGGTTTACAGTAATGTACAATATATGTGATCAATGAGTAAATAAAGGTCAAATGTCAGAATAATAAACACTCATATTTCTATAACTAAAATAACTCTTGAAGTGGTACATGGCTCAAGGAGAAACATCCTCGCAGCTCCAGGATGGAATATGTATGTTCCTCCAGACTTGTGTCTGGTGCTGCCTTTGATGGGCATATCCACGCTAGCCCACCACCCCATCCTGCCTCTGGTCAGAATAAGCAGTTATAGGATGGTTGGAATGGATGGGAAAACAATGGTTTATTTTTCGGCATATGTTATAGTCCACATTTGACAGACGTTCCCTAATAAATGCAACGCGGTCCCTTTAAATATATAGCTGTTCTTAATTTTGCCTGCAAAAACGAAACATATATCGTAAATATGTGTCTTCAAACATTAAAATGGTTATTTTTTATTGTTTACTGTGTAATCTTAATATGTAACAATTGTAATAAGATCGATACACATTACATTATATTTTGTCAATATTCAATCAAATAAAGTATATCTTTATATTCTATTGACACATTAGGGAAAATCGTTTATACATGAAAGTCGAATAAAATGTCTTATAATAAAAACAGAATTTTGCTGAATATTACTGTCAGTTCTTCTCAGGCGATCACAGGTGACCAACCGGTCCTATTTAGCCTTGGAGAAATTCGGTGTTTTTTTTTTTTTCCTCAGGAGGGAAACTTCGCAAGGTTCTGTCCCGAGTTCGGTACGGCTGCCGCCAATCAGAAAACCGTTTAGAGGGGGGGAAAACATTCGACAATTTTAATTTTGCAGAAGGTAAGAAGCCCTTGGCGGCACGATAGATCTGCCGCAGAGACTCTCGCCGAAGTGAGTTTGCGCCCTTTTTGTTGCTCGCGCTAGCTAGTCCGCCGGCCGCCGCCGCTCGCTCGCAAAATGACAATGATCGCGACTCCCTAGGGCACCATTTCGCCGTCCTGCCTGTCCACCTTGGGATATTAAATGTATGTGAACTTCGTATTTGCGAAATATAAACGCTAAAGCCGACTTGGGCGATAAATAAACGCCGGGGTGTGCGCTAGGTGTGCGCATTTCCACATGGTCATTTGCGACGACCCCCCTCCCCAGGGCGCGCCGATGTGGAGCGGCCGGGATCCTTCCATTAGCCGGCAGAAGTGCCTCGCCACAGGGAGCCGGCCTAGCGTGTCCCCGATGTGTCTCCTGGCCAGTATGGCATCTGCGTACCGTAGTATTACCACGATGACATCTTGTGAGTTGCGCTTTCCTTCTACAGCGCTTTAACCCTTAGGTGGTTGGCGCTGTTTAACCACCATAAGGCTAACTGGAGACCGTAATGCAGTTACCAGTGCCCCAATTGTATTGCCTTTTTCTTTGTAGCCGTGTAAAAACACACCATTTTGCTTCGTCGACCTGATCGCCTAAACTTGTTTTTAAACGTCCGCGCTCTTCCGAGCTGAGGAAATTGCTGACGAACTCCCATAAGACGTAAACAAATACGTAAAACGGTGTTCTCTACCCTTAACATTTTCTCCTTCACTAGCCGAATGAGATTATTGGTTTAGTGTGAGGATTTAAGTTAATCTATTTGGTTTTGAAATTGTGATATCCCACGAGGTAGTATACGCATGACAGAACACTGTTGCTAGGCACTCAAATACTGGCTGTCTTGACCTAAACTGCATTTCTTAATGTGCTGCTTTTTGACAACCTTACTTTTCAGAGCCATTATGAAGCTGTAACCAGTGCTGGTTAAAAGTGTAATGGCCTTTCTATAGTGCGTGACCGCAGGGATGTTCTTGGGACTTCTCATTTCTGATGGATCTAGGGTCTTGGACCTTTAAATTCAAAACCTTAATGCTGCAAACATGTGTGTCATGCACACTTAATGTTGTCTTATGGTTCTTGTGAAATTTTAATATGCAGGGATTACAATGTGTACAAGGACTGGAGAAATGAGAAAATACTGAGATGGAAAAGGCAGATCCTCGTTTTTGAACATTTGCTTTATGCTTCGAATGTCTGTCAGGTGACGGCAACATGGGCTGTATTACTGTAAATTCTAAGTAGATCATAGATCTACTGTTTTCAGGCAGTTTGAATCCAACACTGGAACTGTCCATGAGTCCTGGCGTGCTGCACAATCTGTGTTGCAGTGTACATCATATAAACTGGCACACAAGACTTCATGTGGAGTTTGATGTCGTACAAGCTGCTCATTTTGTGGGTTGTGTGTTTTGGACTTTCTGCTGTCTAGCTACAAGTGGGTTTACTAAAGATTAATTTTGCAGAAAATGTTAGCACTCCGTCACAGCAGACTTCCAGACGCGTCAGCAGGCTGTGTGATGCTGTGCGATTTCTGTAGCGCCCTGGGAAGGACGAGGTGAGTGGAGTCATACTGGCCCACAGGCCCTGACTCCAGACACTAAATACATGCTTGGTGGGAGGTGCTTGTATAAAAGCTTCCAGCACCTGGTGAGACCATAGCAAGTAACCTAGGTGACCAAAATTCTTATTTTTGAATGTACCCAATTTTACACTCTCCCCCTTTTGTTGTCTGTTATATTGAAGCTCTAGTTCAGATGGGGGTAATTTCCTTCCATTGGCCTTTATGCGTAAATCGGCAGTGGAGGGGGTAATCGTGGAAGGCCCCTAGAAATTGCTTCTGATCCTACATAGAAAGACCTTGTTTGTGGTTACCTGATAAAGTAGGCTTTGTTCTCCATATGCTTGCTTGTCCTTCATGTTGATGTGCTGTCTTCCCCTGACAGCTAACCCTTCTTGTGTAATCTTTGGTTTGATTTTGGATCTTTAACATCTTAATATAACGGTAGTATATTATGTAACATACTGGTGCCGTGTGAAACTATAAAAGTTTGATATCTGAATGAAGACTTGTAGGTCTTGACGCTTTACATTGATAAGTGTGGTATTATGGTATTAAACCATTAAGTAGTTAATACCTTGGGCGGAGTATGATAGCTGTATAAGTATTTAAATCAGGCAGGTTCATGATTTCATAACCCCCCCCCCCCCAATGAAAATTCACCAGAGCTCAGGATCTCTTACCTCTAACAGAACTTCACACAAGTTTCTCTGTTGTGTAGTGAGGAGGATATTGTCAAGGTCTGGATACAATGCATGTCTGCATTACGCTCGGTGGGGGTGACCACTCACTGATGAACAATACTGATAACTGATATTTTTGTCAAATATTACGGATAACTGGCTGACGTCTGAGCCTCTTGCTGTCCTGGCAATTATTTATTCTGTGAGAACAAAAAATCGATCTGTGCGCCAGATTCAGTAATAAATTAAAATCATATTGTGGGCCATTTTAAAACACCCTTGAGGGAAAGTACTTTGAGACCTCTGAGTGGTGAATGAGCCGACGACATCCCTCGTCTTCCACCATGGAAAATGGCTTGATCGTACAATGCACTTGCATCACAGAAATTATGGGGACATGTTCAGTGATATATTTTGCCCCCCCCCAAACACACACACACACACACACACACACACGAACGTTTGTGGACCCCCCAGTTGGAATCCCCTGGTTTAAAAATCCCCATTAAGGTTTGTTCCACTGCAGTGCCATCTCAGTTTTGTTGATTAGACTGCATTAGTAATTTGCAGTGAGAAATTTGCAGAAACAATTTTGTCAAATTGTGCATATATTTAAATTGCCACCTGTTTGAACAGTTAAGTCGTATGCATTCTTGGAATTGCATTTGTGATATTTGTGTCAGACCGCATAGGACAATAAATGTTTCCTGGTACTTTTTGGGGTCCTGGATATGGGCTCCTAATGGTCTAGTGGTTTTATTTTAATAAGGGCAGCTTTTCTGCAAGGGATAACAGTAACAGGTATGGGGTATGGTCTTGTTTTGCCTTTATATGCTCTGTGTGTCATATGGGGAAAGTAAGGAGAAGTTATCCAAGACTTCAGGGGCTGCTGAAGCCATTTGGTCTGAGTAACTGCCCACACCAGATGGGGTGTTTTTCTAGAGCAGATTACAAGCCTGATGACGGCTTAAGTGAAATAAGTGACTTCAGTCGTACCCGTCTTTTGATATTTACACATGCTGTTCAGTTGTCAGTGTTATTCAAAAAACGTTATACTTCTGCGGCTCCACCTGGTTGTACAAGGTGGATGCTGTATAGCGGGACGCCACGATGTCTTAGCAAGCTCTGTGTTTAAAATGCACTTAAGACTTTGGGATGTGTTCACAAGCATACCCCTGGGGACTGGGGAACTGGAAAGCCAGATCACACTGGGCTAATCTGGCCAGATGCTACCTGGCAGCGTTTGAGTAATTTCAAAAAGTTGGGAGTAAAAGCACACTTTGTGCTTTCCAGCTAGCTTCTGCAGTTATTCCCTCAGGCTGAGCTAGGATAAAAGGGTTGTAGCAGCTATTGTTCAGGACAGACATTTTGGTAAAATTTAATGTTAGCCCAGTGATTCGGGAAGGAATTTGAACTGCCGTGTTGTATGAGTAAATTTATGCACTTTTTAAAGATGCACCTAGAGGACCCGTCATTGCAAGGGCATTACTGTGTTTTCAATAATGGGGAGAAAGGGGGCGCCGATCCGTTAAGTGTCTGGGTCATATCCATTCTCTCACATTGTCCTGTATGACCTCGTATACTGTACCTGTGCATAGCCTACCTGTCAGCTGCAAGGCAGTTTGATAAAACATTCAACAAGCAACTTGGCCAAGTCCACATCTGAACCATGTTTACATTGTCAAATCCATCTGAACTATACGATGGGTGTTTATCACACAGTATTGCTTGTAAGAACATTGTTAGAGCATCCTTGATGTTGCAATACTGGTTTTCAGTCTATTGTTTCAATACTACCAGAGGTAACACTTGGTTTTATCCATCCACTCTAACGAAAGGATGGGCCTAACACAGCTGCCACACGGCCTTTTCAGATACCTCGAGCGTCAGCAGATGCCTGACAGCTAAACAACCAATCACGGCAGCATATAGTTTAGAGCGTCCCTCTAACTCGGGGGCGTCAGACTCCAGTCCTGGGGGGCCGGAGCCCTGTTTAGCTTAGTTCTTTCCCTGCTCCACCACAAATGATTCAGCTCAAGAGCTGTGTGGTAATTTAGCACAAGAAGTTGAATCAGGTGTGTTAAATGAGGGGAAACCCAAAAATGTGCAGGGCTCCGGCCCCCCAGGACTGGAGTTGGGCGCCCCTGCTGTAGACCTTTACACGTGTGCAGCTGAAATCATCGGTTAAAAGTATTTCCCCCTCAGTCAGGAGGTTAGATGAGAACCCAATTCTTCTGACCAAATTTATTATTTTTAAAAGTAAGATCCTGGAAAATATTGGGTGGAACAAACACCACTGATTTCAAAATTGGGTGAGACGAACACCAAGGCTTCATTGTACCCCTAAAGTACTGATTAGCTTGCAACACCTCCATACAGTAAAATGTTAGTGTGTTTTTTAAAGTAGGCTACCGGGCCAGTATACTGTAACTGGTTTGTTATCTGAGCAGAGAGATCACTTCAGGGTCCAGTGGACATTTACAGAGAAGCGGTGAAAATTGCATTTCTGTTCATAAGATCTGCTTTTACAGTGTATTAAGGATGTGTGCCTGCATGCTTGAATGAGCATTCTGGTTTTAACCGGACTGTTCATTTCATAGCACTTTAATTTTAGCTTTTGCAGTATTTTCGCTAAGTGGTTTTATTCTTTGGCCCAAAGTTAATCTGTACTCTGTGTATAGGGTGCTTCAGATTGACTGTGCCAGACCTGAGTGGATTGTACTAGTGATATGGCTTTTGAATAGGTGTAATGACTAATGATTATTGGCATGCTTATTTTCTGTTAATATCATCACTTGGAGATGTTGTTATTATTATTATTATTAGTATTATTAATAATATTATTATTTTATTATCATTATTATTATTAATAATAATAATAATAATAATAATAATAATAACAATAACAATATTGTTATTATTATTATTATTATTATTCAACTTTTATTATTATTATTATTATTATTATTATTATTATTCAACTTTTCAGTCTTCTCTCTCCAGAATGTACTGATTCTTGGATTCTCCTGAAGAAATGCTTCCTGGGAACCTTGTGTGAAATACTAGGCTATACTTTTCCAGGAGGGAAAGGATCACCAGTGCAGCTTCATAGACATACTCTTCAAATGTAGCTGCTTTGCTTTAAAGCTTTTCTCTGCAGGATCCTGATGTAACTTTTCCCAGTTGGTGCTAAAAGGTGCAATAGAATCAATTTTTGTTTTTCTGGAGTGCAAACAGAAGGTGTGTGAACTTGGTTTGGTCAATATCCACAAGTCAGTAAATGTACATCATTCTATTAATATTACATACTTTATATACCATATTTATATACCGCTGCTACAAGTTGTCATGTAATGCATGAAGAAGCTGGCATCGTCAACCAAGTTTTTCCAAGAACCGCAGAATAGTGAGAGAGCACTGCATGAGTTCTGAACCATGCAAAAGCAGCAACGGGAGTAAACTTGCACGCATGGATGCCCAAGCCTTACACTTGAGGTGTAAATCGTTGGCCCTAAGGCGATACGATTGCAATTATTGAGGGAACAATTTAGTACAATGGAAGTCTTTCTGCCATTGTTTCAAATAATAAAGTAATTCTGATAACCTAAATTGAAACTACTTTGTCAGAATATAATTTTTTTTTATTGTTATTGGACCGGCTGAGCATTTCAGTGTAAAATTGTCTAAAGTGAACTGTGCTGGAAAAGGTTTAAAAAAAAAAAAAAAAACATTAAAGCGGGTCTTCAACCTATCAGTCCAGAGAGGAAGGCAGGATATATGGTTCAGGGAACTTAAGTCAGCACTGTGGGCTTGGATTAGTGTTTCTCGTTTTAATACAGTCACTTAAAGCACAAGACAGAACGCATAGGAAATTGTCTATATTGCATTGGAGGTGTGTGTGTGTGTGTGTGCGTGTGCCTGCGGGGCACCTGTACTATGACAATTCAGTTGAATAGTCTGGACGACACCCAAACAAGTGTCTAATTCATGGAGTAATTTACAAGGATTATCAGTGGTAGGGCTGCAGCTATGGATTATTTTAGTAATCAATTGTTCTATTGATTATTCTGTCGATTTTAATTGGATAAGAAATACTTCTGCCTTATTAAAGAGCAATAGTGGCTATTCAAAAGAGGGGGAAAAAGACTGGTGTCTTAAAATGAACAACTCTTTGCTTTCCTTTTTAGAAACATTTTTAATGGTTAAACTGTATACATCTGTGAAGAGAACTAAACCCTTTTAGTGCATTTATGTACATTTTGGTTTTGTTCAAAAAAAAAAATCTGCTTGTGTACATTGGACTTTCAGGAAGCACTTTTACATTCCTTAGATCTTTAGTGTCTAGGCAAATATAGGCTGTTAAGTCAAGCTTCAAATAACTGTATCTCTGCAGAACTATTAAGTACATCTTCCTCAAACAGTCTAAACAACTGTAACTTTACATCTCAAGCGCTGGTCCTACAGCAAGCTTGAAGCAAGAAGTTGCTATTTTCGCATGCAGCTTGGTGAAACTTAATTGCTTAATTAAGGGAAAATGAATTTTTATTTATTTAATCTTGTTTTATCAACATACCGCTTAAAGTGCTTGATAAGCAACGGAATGAACATGATTCTATGCAGTGAATGTCAACGTTTGGAACTATTCACCGTCCCCATGACCCGGAATTTCGCCAGAAATTTCTCTGCCATTTTGACAATGGGTCCCTATGGGAGTTTCGGCTCTGCTACACGTAATGTAGCGTAAGTGCACTGTGCGACCGTAATAATCCTCCGTGTGAAACATGGCGATCACTGAGCAGTACATAGTTGTGTGGAATAAACGAAGCATCGAAGCAAAGCATCTGCGAGTCATTCGAGTTGATCATTCGTTGCAGCCTTAATCAGTGGTTTGACTTATTTCTGGTTTGTATGATAAAATCGGTTTGTTATTGCGGGGTTTGTGAATCATTGTGCACAGTTCCTCCATGGACCCCAGGGGGTCCTGTACTGCCTGTTGAAGACCCTTATCTTAAAAGAAGGGCTATTCGATGGGTGGGGGTTCTGTCAGCACAGATTAGTGGAATGACGTTACATCGCTTTTTATTCTATGTAAAACCTAAAGATTGATCTGCGGGCCACATTAAGTAATGATTTATTAACATGTCATGGGCCGCTACTTTGACACACCTAAGTGGTGAATGAGGTCAGGAAATGCCTCATGCTACACTGTGGGGGAAAATGGCTGATCATCTAGTGCAGCCCTCTCTATTTCAGTAGGCAGCCCTCTCTATTTCAGTAGGCAGCCCTCTCTATTTCAGTAGGCAGCCCTCTCTATTGCAGTAGTTGTCTTTACTCTGAGGCTGTTTAGCTTTCAATATTGATAAAGTTTAAATATCAGCCACTATTGACATGCCAAATTAATGTAGATGTATATATTTTTTTTTAACTAGTATTGCCTGATCCCAGTATGTTAATCGATTTGTTGTGCATCTCAAAGCTCCCGTTATTTTAACTTGCCTATCTGGTTAGTTGCCAAGAGCGTAGTAGCTCAGAGATCATATGGTAGCCCTTCCTTTGTGAGTGTTAATGAGCCTCACCCTGCTGTCCTACTTCTTGGAAATTCTTTTGCCATCGTCGCTACTTTCTGCGTCTACCTGCAGCGTGCAAATGCAAGAGTGTGTCACCCAGACGTAGGAGCATCTGCGTTACCGGAGAAAATGTTACCAAGGGAAACCCTGAATCCATCACCATGTATCTCTATCTGTCTACCGTACAGTAACAGTGGTGTGTGTGTGTGTGTGTGTGTGTGTGTGTGTGTGTGTGTGTGTGTGTGAGAGGGAGGGGGGTTTAACTGTGTAATATTTTAAACAGACTGAATAACCAAAAAGATACAAATTTTCAACATAGCCTGGGTATCTGTATCTTTTTGCTTAATGCTTCTGATTTGGAGATTGAGGTGGCATTAAGGGAGGTATCAGACCTTGCTTTAATGGTTATGGGTTTGACTGTATAGATCTTATGCATAGATCTTTATTTTGTGTAACTGTGAATATGGAGTTCTGCTCCATTGTTTAATGATTTTAATGCAGTTTCATTTATATTGTCATTCCTTCCTTCCAGGGATCAACAAGTCATGTCTGGTATAGCTCTTAGCCGCCTTGCACAGGAGCGAAAGGCCTGGCGAAAAGATCACCCATTTGTGAGTTCGGATGTTTGTCTGCTAAAGTTTTTAACCTTGAACATGTTCTTGCACATCTCTTCACGTGAAACGTCTGTATATTTTTGCTCTAAATTCAGGGCTTTGTGGCCGTGCCGACAAAAAATCCAGATGGGACGATGAATCTTATGAACTGGGAGTGTGCCATTCCTGGGAAGAAAGGGGTGAGGCTGATTACCCTCTTATATGATGCTGTATTTTGGGCTGACGGGATGCGTAGAAGGTCTTGGTCTTGGACCTCCTGAGATGGTGACTGCCGTCTGCAGGCTCCAGGCAGTTTTCCATATCTGTGCATAACCGCTGCCCGACTTTTCCACCGGCATGAGGGAGCCGGCCGTACCCAAGCCGTACCACGAAGAGACTAGTCACAGCACAGTTCCAGCTCACTTTGGTTTTCCACTGCAGAAGGCTCGGCCCAGTAAAGGTGCTGTCGTTTTTGGAGAACAGCGGTGACATAAAACCGAAGACGAGCTAATTTGTGTTCATGCCGTGTACATCATGCTTTACTGCCAATTTCCTAATTTTCCAGCACATTGCCATGCTACGCGGTATCAAACGCTAGTTCGCTTGTGTAAATTTGCATTACGAATCCATTCTGTTTAGCCGTTCTATAGTATTTTATGAGTAGGAAGCTGGAAATTTTCAGAAAATCAAGAATGCACTAATACATCGCGATGTGCAGTACTACTAATAATAAATATATAGAATACACCCTTTTTCCTTCAGATAATCCATGCACAGAATACTGGTATCTTCTTGCATTTCAACCAATTAGATGGTGATGCAGCCAACTGGCTTTGGTCACGCTTTCGCCCTGCTGGTAAGCAGGGCCATGTCAGGTCGGGCACAGCTTGGGCACAGCTTGGGCACAGCTTGGGCACAGCTTGGGTACGGCTCTTACTTCACAGGGGAAGACTGACTGTTGGCGGTATGACTCGCTTCCTGGTGGTGGTGGAAAGCGCCATTGAGACTTCCTGTTTAGCCACGTGATTTGTGCACCTTTTAGGCTTGGGTGTGATGAGGGGAGTTATCTCTTCTCTTGGTCTCTGTTCTCCTCTCCAGACCCCCTGGGAAGGAGGCTTGTTTAAACTCCGAATGCTCTTCAAGGATGACTATCCTTCCTCCCCACCCAAATGTAAGTGAAACTTTGTTTTGTCGCTAATAAATTTGCAGCCTCTGGCTGATCCTAAATTTTGCTGTTACTTTACAGGTAAATTTGAGCCCCCACTCTTCCACCCAAATGTATATCCATCCGGAACAGTCTGCTTATCCATCTTAGAGGAGGATAAAGACTGGAGGCCCGCAATCACCATCAAGCAGGTACCCAGAGGACGGCCGTCCGCGTCACCCCATGAATGGCGCCGTTTTGTTTGCTGATATTCTGCCTGCGTCTGTCTCCGATCCCCTTTTGTCTCAGCCTGCAGTATTGCCATAGTCGCCTAATTAATCGGGTGTCTCTGCAGAGACGCGATACACACTTTAGAGGGCAGTATGCTCACTGGTTTGCTTATGAAATGTTGACGGACTCGTTCTATACTCCATCCCATCCTATAGATTTTGTTAGGAATCCAGGAGCTTCTGAATGAGCCGAACATTCAGGATCCCGCTCAGGCTGAGGCCTATACAATTTACTGGTAAGTGTGAATTAAGAAGCCATATTTGGTGCGTTAAGCTTGTGACACGGAATTGCTTGTAATTAGTACAGTATCTGCTGAATAGCTCTGGCTTTCTAATGCCTCTCTCCCCTCTATTTTAGCCAAAACAGAGTAGAATATGAGAAAAGGGTTCGAGCGCAAGCCAAAAAGTTTTCGCCGTAGGCCTGAAGACTGACTTAAAGGAGTTGATTTGACCAGGATCTTTTTTTTTTTTTTTTCCTTTTGTCAAAAAAAACTAAGAAAATGCCCCAGATTTCTCCAGCAGGACTGATTTTAAACCTTAAATGCGTTTTTGTGCCATTTACTGTCTTTACCTGCTCGCCCTACAAGCTCCTCCTTTTTGACGTTTTGTTATCTCTGGCTGTTCTTCTGCTGGCTGAGCTACGATATTGTCACACAAGCTCAGAACAATTTGGATTGTCTATATGGGAGTTTGTTGGGG